GCAAAGGTTTAGTATAAAATAATATTGAAATTAGAAGATCTTAGAGCTAGCGTTTACTCGAGATCACTTGAGTAAAGAGGGCACAGAGGCCAAACTTTATACAGTGCTTCAGTGAGCACTGGCCGCCTGTCGCCGCCAATACGGTATTTGACAAGTCTTAGAAAATATCTCACGTTGCTGTTGCTTGCTTATGTTTATGGAATCCATAGAGAGGATATGAAATGGATAGGGATTTATCATTATGTTGTGTATTACAGTTAAAAATAAAGTGATCAAAAATTACATTTTCAAATTGCCCTATAAACGTTTCTTTGTTTCCATAGATGGCGTCATACGACTGTTATTAAAATGTCGAATGATGAAATATAATGTGACTTTGACCGGAAGTTTACTAGCGTATGACGTTATTTGAGTATTCGCCAATCCCAGACTAAAAACAAACAACTAAAATAAATTATATATAATATTTTTTAAGAAACGTTATTAATTATTTTGTTCTCTCAGAATAGTTGAACTGCTGCTAATATTCACATTAGCATCACTATATTTTTCATACTGACAAGTAGCCTTTATAAATGTTTCTCTGCGTAGGCGATAGACGCCAGTGCTCAATCACCACGCGTACTTTAGGAATCTTTGCCTTTGTGACTTCTTTGCTCATGCGCTCAAGTCCCGACGAAAGGTCATGGATGATGTCTCTCTAAGCTTAAGTGGTTAGAGCTTTGGTAACTTATCGCAGGTACTAATTGTGAGAAAATATATTTAGCAATCTAGGTGCACAAATATAATAAATCTGATAACTAACCAAATTGCAACAAAAATTAAGTATTATTCTTTCTTAGTGATATTTCTTTATAGCATTGTTAATGTAAGACGGATTTTTGTAAAGTTAAAATAACTTAATCTTATGGTCCGTACTAACATACTTGATAGTTCTACTCTAAAGCGGGTAAAAATCAACATGTGGACCGCAAAAGTCACAATTGGAAGGTTGATGAGCCTCAGTGGTTCGTTGGTGAGATGCGTGACCAAATCTCCATCTCTTCCGGAAGTTCAGCTGTTTACAGCGTCACCGAGCCGAGAATTGGCGAGTGCCTTTACAGGTATTCCAGGCGAATGGCATCTCAGCGCGGAGGGAGTCTCCTCTCCGTTTGGAGCCTCTAGACCATTCGAACCTAAGGGGTGTTCAGCTGTTGCTCTCAGCTGTATCTGCAGATGTTACCACCCAAATCCGCACTTGGCTCGCGTGATGAATCATAGCCTGTTTTACCGTTTCCATATATAAGAAATTCCTGTGTCCCAGCTGTGGGGCACGAGTAGGTAGGGTGATGGTGATCATGTCAATGAATGTGTGATATTACAAATGTTATTTACTTAGACATTTCGAAAATTCCTTTTAGTCCCATAAGTGCATTTATGCACTGTTTAATATTCATCGTACAATCTATTGGCATGTAGATGACACCAAAGGTCGAGTGCATTTTCCATTAAACAAGATAATTTCAACCTTATCACTTAGTGATTCAGTTCAATATTGTATGTGTTAACAAGTGTCGGATAAATGAGATTTAGAGTTAGATGCGTGTACCTCTATGTGTGTTGTCATAAGGTTCAGAATGGCCTCATAATTAATAGGTTTTATGTGCACAAATGAAACAGAAGGTATTAAAGTTCGATGCTTGACGGCTCTCGTATAGGTTAAGGATGGTTTGATACGGATCATTGTTAGAGCTGTTGTCATAGTTCGTGTTCAATAGTTCAGTGTACAACTTGATTGGTTCAATAAATCAGTAGGACATCACTATGAATTAAGGGCCGGGATTGACCTTAAAGCACGGAAGACTAAAACTAAAGACATTACCACACCATTTTCTTTAGCCAATCAATGTTCCCACTGCTGCTGTACAGGCCCTTCATAGAGATGGAATAGTTAACTTGGGTCATGACTTACCACGCGGGCTCAGTGCGGGTTGATGGGTGCAAACGACTGCAGATGCAGCCGGTACCAACGGCTTAACGTACCTTCCCAAACACGGAGGAGGTCGAGACAATAAATTCTTGGTAACTCATCCAAAGACGGGCTATTGCGAAAGTTACTTAAACTTTATGATCGCAAGTTCCTTGCCATTACCAAACCATATCTTAAGCATGTCACAATTCGGCATCGGTGGGGCTTAAGATTTTCCGCACAGGAAACTGTGGAATTTTATGTTTCTTTTAAGCTCACAGTTCAGTAGAAGCTAATTAATAGACACGTAGACGTAATGGAGTTTAATAATAAAATAAGTAAATTTTTAACCGTTAATAGTTAGTATGTCTTTTATTGAGGACACCTGCGATTGATGAATCAATTTCAGATCTCAGTATGGCTCTTCAAATTATACCTAATATAGAGAAAATTAATTCTGTCTAATTACATTCTTCAACAATGATAAGGATGTATGAGTTGTGTTTTTTATGCATGCACAGCACAAGTACATTTTAATAGCTAATAATTATTTATTATCGTTTTGTAATAAAAATCGTAAACTATGGATAGCACAAAAATGGTGTCGCCTGTGATCTATTATTTTACACTATTATTTTTAAATAAATTGGCTGAATAATATTAGGTAACTTCACTATTCTTTCTAGTTACTGAAGGTCTTGTCTAACTTGAAATGTTGACCACCCGATGCACTATGCTTCTCCACGTTTTTTTTTTGTGTATGTGCTGTTGGTCGCAGATGGCCTTTACAGCGTCACTGTTGTTAAGGACGGTGAGATCCTAAGGGGGCCTCGGGCTAGAGGTATTCCAGGGGGATAGCATTTCTCAACGGGGTGAGTCTTCTCTCCGTCTGAAGCCTCTAGACCACTCGAACCTGAGTGGGTCGGCTCAACTAGAGGGCGGCTCTGATACTCGGACCTCGGCTCTAGTTAGCCGTTGTCGTGGGGTACATGGCTACAAGCTCGGTGGACGTTATTTTTAATCAAGTATCATCTTTGTAACTGTGAATTATTTTGTGCAGCAGCAAGTGTTTTAAGCATCAAGAAGTCATATTCAAACCACAGTACTGTATATTTCATTGAATTGACATCGATCGCCTCGCCCGCCAATCCACGCTATTGCCAAACTTGAATAACCCTACTGATTTCTGTCATGTTCCTACAAATCTAATATTTGATAAACAGAAAGCTAAATGCATGTTATTTCATTATTTATTGTTAATTTTGTAACTAGTTATAATGTCAAGTTATCGTTGAAACGAATATAAAAACGATAATACTTGCGTAATTCCACATGATTTCTAAGTTAGGTTACCTGAAACTCCACTGGATAACTAATTGCCGCCGACATTTTTAAATATTAATCAGAAATCAATATATCTTTATTAATTTTTTTTTCGTTACCACTCGTTATGGACATATTTTTTAGCTGCGGAGAAAAAAGAGCGAAAAAACTCCACAACATTAAATTTGTAATGATATTATTATCAATAAAAGCATCTACTAAATTGTGTTATTATGATAAAAAATATTTCACGACAATTAACTGCGATTTCTTTATCGTCGCTCGTTTAACATCGAAATAACCATATTAAATCGATTTTTGATAGTATAATTTAGATAAGGCAATAAAAAAAAACTATAAAAAAATCTGAACAAAATTTCCTGATTTTTGATAAACAGCAAAAAAATATCAAAATGTCACGTGAAGTGATAAGAACTACTTTTATTAGACTTATTTTTTTTTAAATAAGGGTATATAAGAATTTTATACAATATTCCTGAAAAATATATAACAGATCGATTAAGTATTTTCATTTATTATTTATGTTTCTAAAATTTACCAAATATTTTTTTCTGTATGGTGAAATGGTTCGATCCCAGGACTTATTTTTTGGTGCATTATATGTGAATCCACCCTAAAAAATACCCAACAACAATTTTATAGAAATTTCATAAAGATTAAAAATATCATAGCTTTTGCGTTATTGCTGTACATATTTGTTTTTTTTATTAAGACCTAGATAAATGCATAATACGTTTATTTTATAAATATAACTATTTAATAATACTCTCCGTATTACAAAAAAAATAATCAAAAGGCATGAAATATAATTATGTATGGTGCAGAAATCAAATTCCAAGATAAGGCCATTTTAAGTCAAAATACCGATATTCAGTCATCTTACTCGTGTAGCAATAATAATCAACACGAGATTGATTTGATTATTTTGGAGTACAAGAACACTTGCCTTTACGCAGTTGTGAGTTTTAAAAAACGTACAATCAGCTGTTTTAAAATAGTTTGCAACACACAATATAGACTGTGGAACGCAGATTCTCCGTTTTCTCACGGGTGTGGTGGTGTTGCGTTGATGTCTTTTTGATGCGGGCCGCTGATGCGCGCGCGCATAATTGGATTGTGTTTATGCTCCAATGTACGAATACCTTAAGTTTGTAATTATTAAGATATTATGAAATTTTAAAGTATGCGACTGTTTAAGTTTCAGTGACGTACTTTTTTATGTTTAACATCTTTCCTCTCGCTTTCGTGGGAATAATTTCTTGAAATGGGACAGAAGTGTGTAAAAAAAGTCGCGAAAGCGCGCGCTATTTGATTTTAGAACATAATGTTCAAATGGCTTAATCCTTTTGTAGTAGGTTTTTTTAACTAATATAAGGTAAGGTTTTTTATGAAGATAAGGACTGTGTTTTACATACTTTGAACATTTTAATATGAATTGTTTGTTAGCGTAAAAAATAAATATTTAACGATTTTTCAGATTAAATTACTTTTGTTAAATTTTAATATCTTTATAGAGGATCTTAAGTCAATATAATAAATGAAAAAGTAACTATTTAAATCAAAAAGATGAATAGCTCACTGGAGAAAGTACAACTATAGAATTTTCAGTGTTATTTTTCTATTTTATATTTCTATTCAAACTTATTTTTGTTATAATTCAATATTTTTTCTTTTCTGTCAAAACAAATAAATAAGCATCATAACTCACCTTGCGCACGAATATAGAAAATCTCTCTCACGTCTTCTCTCCTTCACACTAGTACGTCACAGGGCTCACTCATAAACTTCGAGATGGGAGTAAAAAGTTTGCTTTACTCTCGCGCCGCGTGCGTCGGGTCACAGTGCGAGCGGCTGAAGCGACTGATCAGCGCTTGCGCGGCGAAAGTGTTTATATAGCCTCTGGTTGCCCGACGGCGCATGCGCGAGACAATGAGGGTCCTGGTGACCCCGCTAGGTCACCAATTGGTGAAGACCTGGCACGTATCATCTGTTAAAAGTCCTACAGTAAGAGCCTGAATTATTTTTGAGATAAGGGTGGCAAAACAAGCATAAAGTTTGTCATGGCATACCCCCAGGCAAGCTTCTAGAGCAACAACTATAGATAAGGAAGCCTGTGTAGTAGCAAATTTAGTAAGTTTGTCTGTGGTTTTACTCAAAAATTTGCCGTTACCTACAAGAGCTACCCTAGCCTAAAGATGATTGGAATAGCTACCATAGTATTACCAAACAATACCTTAGCTTCTTTCAGTAAGCGACTGCTTTAACATAAATAAATAAATATTTCCAACACTCACACCAATTAGCTTAGCCCCAAAGTAAGCACTGTAAGGCTTGTGTTATGGGAAACTAGGGTAACGGATAGAATACATAAAACCGATACATATAAATATATTTATATGGAAATACATATTAAACATCCATGACTGGAGTACAAATTCTCGTATTCATCACAAAAACATCTGCCCCTAACGGGATTCAAACCCGGGACCTCTCGAGTAGGCGACACCTTAAAATCCGGCGTACTAACCACTCGGCCATGGTGGTGGTCGATATAAAAAGGGAAGGCAAGCATAAGGTAAAGTTTTATTATAAGCGCTTCTTTAGCTTAAAGATGATTGGCGTACCGTAGTTTCTATCCCCTACCCCGTGGAGCTCTGCAAACCTGACTCACCGACAGGAACACACCACCAAAAGCTAGGTAGTGTTATGTTACTATGGTTTTCTGTGACATGAGGTTGCTTCCCAAAACTGATGCTCCAATTCGGGAGGAAAATCCTCAGAGCCTTGCTGTTCTTCTATAAGTAACTTCTGTTTAAGAAGTCATAAAGTATTCATTTGGCATTTTGGGATACCTACAATGCAAAGAGATGGCGCTGCCTTGCAGCTTAAGAAAGGCTAGAAATTTTTTGACACGGCCATCAGAGCCGCAGTAGCATAATTGGTCAGTGCATTTCCCCGGAAAGCGAAGGGTGCGGGTTAAATTCCGTCTGCTGACTGGTTCGCGTGGATTTTTTTCTAGTTATATTTTCTTTACATGTAAACATCATGCAGTTACATGCTTAAAAAATTAATTATAAGTTATAAGAAATTATAATTCATTTTTATGTTAAGCATTTAACTGCTATATGCAAAAGTCCAAAAAAACTACTAGAATAATTTCACTCTGTCCAGGTTTCAGAGGGGATTCGAACCCGCTTCAGTTATCCGGACAGACGCACTAATCGGGCATAGCCGGGGATACCGAAAGAATTTCCGGAAACTTGTAGAATTTTCTTATGATTTAAGCTATAAGAAAGTCGTTGCTTATATTTACTTAGCTTTCTGTGATACCGGACTTTTTAAGTTAGACGAACAGTTCATTTAATTCAAGTAGGTATTTAAATTTCACTATCAATCTTCTTTAAATCAATGATACCCATATTGCTGCAAACAGCATTTCTCTTTCTCTAAAATCAATATAATATAAAATCAATTATGTCAAGTAAAAGTTTTCTAACCCATATTAAACACATTTCCTTCTTTAAGGCTTTACAATCATCTTAATCATCATCAGCCTATTAATGTCCCCACTGCTGGGGCACAGACCTTCCCTATAGATGGAATAGGGAGCCTGGGCCATGACCCATCACGCGGGCCCAGTGCGGATTGGCGGGTGCTAACGACTGTTGATACAGCCGGGACTAATGGCTTAACGTGCCTTCTGAAGCGAAGAAGATTTTTAGTCACCCATCCAATGGCCAATCACTGCGAAAGTTGCCTAACTTTAACGATCGCAGCCAAACGCGCTTCGAAATCGAACTCCTCTTTACCATATGTTAAATGTGTGGCAAAAAACATAACGCAATAACATTTTTTTTGCTACCCTAGCCGTTCGGCCCTACATGAAAGGGCACAGGTATGGTGGGAGTAGTCACTCACAAGGTACAGAGTTGTCCCCCTTATATTATTCTGCCGCACTCGATTAAGTCGAAAAATTCCTGCCTGAGCTCCCTTCTATCGAGCGAGCAGCGTAAGAGACCAATAGAACTTAAGAATAAAACAAATTTCTACGGGACGGACACTCAGAAAGTTTTGAAAGAGTAAAAAACTAACTTCTATGAAAAAAATATTATTATTAATTTTTTTCAAAAACCTCTCCACAAGCCTCTAGACAAAGTTACATGCGTCTGAACCAATTTCCAAATCATTTTTTCCAGTCCTCCGCAGACACCTCTTCCACGGCCTCAAACGCTACTAGCGCTTCTTGCGGCGATGAAAACTGTTGATTTTTTATTTTAGGGAATAAAAAGAGCCAAATCAGGACTGTAAGGAGGGTGTCCCAAGACTCTGACTGGTGTGGAGTCAAGGAAGTCCTTCGTTTTGATCGCAGAGTGCGCGGGCGCGTTTTCGTGGTGAAGAAGGACCCCGCGGAGCCCGGTGTTAGGTCGCTTGTTGCTCATTGCAGAAAAAACTTCTGGCAGGTATTTTGTGCTATACCATTCGGCGTTGATGCTGCTTTGGTCTCGAAGTGGAATTGACATTAGGTACCCCTTCAAAGTAAAGAATCTAGCGATCAAATTTTTTCTTGCACTCCTCGATCGCTCCACTTTCGTGGGCGTTGTTTCATTTTGAAACAGCCAAAATGTCGACTGACGCCTAGTTTTTGGATCGTATTGATAAATCCAGGATTGGTCACCTGTCACAATATCGTAAACGCGCAGTGACGAGCCTGCATCAAATTTTTGTATCATATCACTGCACCAATCCAAACGGGCCTGATTCTGAGCTTCGGTGAGATTGTGTGACACCCAGCGGGAAATTATCCTCCTTGCGTAAAGGTGATCGTGCAAAATCTTGTAAACACTTCCTGAACCAATCTGCATAGGATGCTGAATCTCCTCGTACGTAATTCGTCTGTTTTATTGAATTAATTTTTTTACTGCCAGCACACTTTCTTCGGTGACAGCCGTCGTTGGACGACCACTCCTTTGGTCATCCTCCAAAGTAAGACGACCGCGTTTAAACTCGCTACACCAGCGGTAGATGGTTGCTTTTGAAGGTCTTTCATTCATAAAAGCAGTTCAAAATTGATCATCAGGTTTTAAGTCACATTTAAAATCGTTAAAATCATAGCACGAAAATGTTCTCGATACAGATCCATTTTTTAATGAGACAAGAAAAATTTAATTAGCTCTCGAAAAAATGCGGGGGGAAATTTGAAAATTGGTATTTTTACTTTTTAACAATCGTAGTTTTCAAAATTACAACAAGTGGATAGTCTTATACATAAAACCTTTTTTTCGCATAACTTTCTGAGTGGCCTGGTGTATGCGCTGATTTATTTACTATTTAATGATGTTAAGCATCCTTTTTCGCTGCGTCGTCAGAATTATGCATCCTGAAAATGATGCGCAACGTCATTAAGTAAATAAATCAGCGCATCTATTCAAAGACTTGTTCTAGCCTTAGATTAAAACAAAAAGGGTAGATACGGTACGCTCTTACTTGCATCAAACAAAAACTGATCCCACGGCAGAGCGAACGGGACGGCGAGAACCGCGTCACTGCATTACCGACCCGAGCGAAACAGCACGTTAAGTTTCAACGGCAGCGCGAACGAGACGGCGAGATCCGCGTCACTGCACTATCGACCAATCACGCGACCAGTACTCGACGTCCCTACCGAATAAGATTCAAAACAAAAAGCATTTTTTATGAAAAAATATATTTTATAGTACTTACGAATGCAAAGTGATGCCGTGGGTTTTATTTTTAGTTCTTGAGCAATACGAGCACTTTTTAAAAACATACATAGGCATTGTTTTATCATATAAACACAAAATATTATCAATATTGCTTTTTGGCGTTCACATGTACGTCGTTTGCATGTCAAGTTGTGACTAAAGCGATTAGGGTCGTGGACCACAATTTGTGCGGATCACTTTTGTGAGGCTAGTGCCGTATCTACCCTTTTTGTTTTAATCTAAGGTTCTAGCTGACAATTAATTAGATTATATAAGACTACTAGCTGACTCGGCGAACTTCGTACCGCCCAAAAGTAATAATTTGCAATAAATTAAAATTGCGACTATAATTTGAGATTTAAACTATCCTATCTCTCAAGTTGGATCGAACTGCACATGGTGTGCGAATTTTATTATAATCGGTTCAGTGGTTTAGGAGTCCATTGAGGACAAACATTGTGACACGAGATTTATATATATTAAGATTAATAAAATCCCGCGTGACATTCAAGACATTCTTACTAATCCAGAATCATATAAATATTTATATAATTTTTTAGTTTCCATAGATATGGAACTGTAATAATTTCATAACGTTAAACAAACAAGATAATGACTTCAAAATCGAATTTGAAAATTTGGGTCAAAAAATAAGTACCTAAACTGAAAATGGATTAGAGAGACTATTTAGGACAAATATCTTATGATTGAAGAAGTGGCTTCGGCCTTATAGAAAAAAAGAAAGAAAAAAAAAAACTTTTTAAATGAAGACTATGGCTGCATGGCTCTGCCTTTGCCTTTCCCAAGATGGGAAAAAAATATTAAAAAAAAATCAGTGCATCTATACTGTAGAAACTTGTTTTATTTAATGAGCTGTATACATTGGCTGAACACACAAACCGTGCATGCCATAAAAAAAGAAAAAGAAGAAGAAGAATGAGCGGTGTGCGTGAAAACCTGAGATACAAATAAGAAGTTACGAATATGATATCAAGTTTAAGCGTATTAGATGTGTACGCAATAAATACGTGACCATAAAGCCATAAACTAAGTAACTATGTAATTCCATGTCGTAATCTTCACATATTTTGTTTCATGGTATTTGATGGCGTGAAATTATGTAATTGAAGACCTTTTGGTGCAACTGCAGGTCTTCTACTATCTAGGATTCGGGTTCGAATCCCGTTAAGGGTATTTATTTAGGTCATAAATATTGTGTGCGTTTGAACTTACTTATTGATGTATTAAAATACGTTTTTAACACAGTTAGAGTACATAGGATTTGCCGCT